AAATAAACAAGGCAGGTATATTAAGGATTTGTTTTGAAATTTATGGCAATTGTTTCATTTCAATTTAAATGTTATTTGTCTAGACCTTACATATATAAGGGAAACAACCACAAGTCAGGACAATGGCTTTCGAAATTTAAATTTAAAATTTTTAAATTTCTATCAAAATTTCTCTTTCTCTTTTTGGGAAAATTATTTAATAATCATAAAAACATATTTTTAAATAAAATTTTAAATAATCTCTTTTCTCTCATACATATGTAAATAAAAACATTGCTATTTGTTGCAAAAATTCTCTTTAAAATTGTAAATTACTTTGTTATCCTTAACATTATCCTTTCTTTAAAGCAGTGTTTGTATATTTACTTACTTATATGTATCTTTTGTTATATCTTTGTATGGTGTTAATATTTATAATCGTCTCGTTATAAGAGTTGAAATTTCCCTGAAATATTCTCATGTCTTTTCGTGAGTGTGTGTGTGTGTGAAAAAACCACAAATGTGCGCTTAAAAATACATTTTCATAAACACAAAACTTATTATCAAAAACATTTGGGATTTTTGTTATATTTTTTGTTTTTGTTTTTATTTTTCATTCTCTGTTAAAAACAATGAAAATGAATTTGTTAGTGAAGAGACAGAGATCAAAGAACTTTTTAAGTGCTATAACTTTAACAATAAAATAACATGCAAATAATAGCAATTTTAAAGCATACAATCAGGAGTTGTAATAAACATGTACGCAATGAAATATATTGCATATTTTAAGGGATTCTTATTTAAATGGAAAAATTGGAAAACTTAAGAAATTTCAAATGCAAAAGGAATAATTTAAGGAAAATTTTAAAGAATATATATTTTAAGATATTTATCATTTCGAAGGCTTAACAGTTAGGCACCTTAACCCAAAATTATGCCAAATGGGGGATCAATATTTAGATGATATAAGGCACAGAATCCCAGTTAAATATTGATAACCATGATAGTCATAAACTCCTTCAGTTTCTTCCTATATCAAAGCCTCTGCTTAGTGTCCTGATGGTATACTTTTGATAGTTTTATATACAACATACAAATTTTCTTTTTTAATATAAAAATCAACCATTTTGTTTAATTAAAAACTAACATTTCCCCAAAAAGTAACCCTTCTCTCTAACACATCAAAATCTATTACAATTTGACATGATTTACGGTAAAATTAGTTTTCCTTTTATGTTTCCAAAAAATCAAACATGTCTTCCTTACTTTTTAATTTACTAAAGTGAATTAAAAAGTAAAATTTTGTTTATTTTCTAAAGCAAAGCAAAAGGGGCGTTATTTTTGTTTTTTCTATGAAATAAAACAAAAGAAACAATACTCTCCACCCATTTGTAGTTTTCGGTATTTAGACACTTTGAGTAAGAGACATGATATAAAAACGCCTTAGTTTTTTTTTCTTTCTTCTAATAGACAATAAAAATAATATCTACTAATGAATAAAACTGCCAATATTTATTTAATAGATTCATTTTATTATATTATCTAACTTAAGACAAATACTTGAAATACAATCTTCTTAAACAGATTGTCATTCTTCTAACAGTTTTTATTGTTTTCTAAAAGACACCCTCTCTTTTGTTTCTATACCTTAACGAGTAAGGAGAGGAGTAAATGGAAGATAAAAAATATTGTATTACATTTATTAACAATTGTTGCTAGTATTTAAATCAATAAATCATAAGAATTCAAAGAATATTGCTCAGCAGCCTTATAGTATGCTAGGTTTGGAATAAAAATTAAAGTTACCCTGAATATAGGCAATATATTGTCTTTACAGCATGAAAAATTATTGTCTCCTTAAATACAAGTACATTTAAAATTCTTCTTAATTCTAACAGCACTTGTTGTTTATTTAATTGTTAATTGTTTTATATTGTTTGTATTAACATTTTTGGACAGTTATAACTAGAAAATTAAGCAAACACTTAACACAAACTCACTTAAGACACGTCAACAGTCTTTTTCTCTTATTTATTTATGTTATTTGTTTGCAACAAAAATAATTAAAGCATACTTTTAGGCTTAAACCTCTATTGTTTAGCAAATATTTGTTAAACACAATAAAATTAATTAAATATTTGCTTAAAGTAAGAAATCTTTTTGTTACGTATATTTTTCTTCTTTTTTCTCTTTAAGTTATAATAAGTACAATTTTATTTCTTTAACTTTATTTGCAGTTTTATTAAGTTTTTTTATTGTATATATTTATTTTTTCTTTTTTGTTGTTAATATATTTCTTTGTATTATGCACAGGTATTACACTACTAAACAATTATTTAAGTATGTATTATTAAAAGTACATTAAACTTAGTAGCTGGCGAACATGTGTATGGAATACATGCATTTATCTGTCGGTATGTACATACATATGTCTGTCTGTCCGTTTGTTCGTTCGTCTGCTTGAGCTTTTAAGGACTTCTGCTGGTATTATCTTTGTGTGTATGTAAGTGTGAATATGTTTCCATATATGTATGTGTACATTTGTTACTACACTTATGTGCATTCCCTGCAGTTTTATGGGTGTTAAAAGTATGTTTTTGTTGGCTGACTTCAACTTACATAGTTTTGGACCGAAAGGAATACCATTGGTTACTTGTCGTATTACTGGTAACCTAGTATTGCGCCAATTATCACTTTTGTATCCCTAAGTAATTAATATAGAGTGTTTCTTTTTTACAGTTTAGTTTAGAAACTTGTGTTTTATCTAATACTGTTACTTAATAGTGGAATTTGAATCTCTGGAAAACCAATAAAAGATAATCGCGAGTAGGTTGGGAGGGCCAAAAACTTTGGGCTTTAACTGAATCTTTACTTACTAAGCGTTATCTTTTGATTTAAAACCTTCCTTACTAGATTGAAGACGAGAAATATTCGAGAAAATAAAAGTGCTCTCAACTATAAAGACATCATTCTTATTTTAAAACTTAGTCTTAGCTGGAGTCATTTCGACTGATTATTCGCAAAGTTCTTTAAATGTACGATACATGACAAAGCTGTTTGGCCGGCTCTACTTATAGGACTAGGTCAATAGAAGTATCATACTTTTTGGATCTTGATCATAAATTAGAACCAATTGTTATATAAATGTGTATTGAAATCCGAGAGATTTAATAATGAACGATAGAAATCTCTAGACTACTTAGGGTACTCAAGTGCACTAGTACACTAAGTTCGCATCAATCTAGCAAAACTGCTGGGCACTTGAATGCATATATAAGTATGTGTGTCTAAAGTCAATTTGCCTGTTTTTGTTTGTTCTTATTTTATATATTATACGAGTATTGACGACATGTATGGTCGCAATGGAGCAATTGATTACAATCCAAAATATTCTTCTTACTTCATTCTGACACTCTGACTTTTACCTGTTCTTTTCACTAAAAATTTATGAAAGTATATATAACGTCAGCTGCAATAGAAAAGGCTATAGAGAAAAGCTAAGCATTTCAACAAGACAACTTTCTTTCAATATCAGGCCGATCTTTTCAAAAATTATATATATAATGATTAGAATTTGAGCTCAATTAATTAAAGAAGTTAAATAGTTTCCAAAAGCTATTGGGGAAAAACCATATCAAAACGGGGAGTTAACTTAGTTTCGGATTTGGTAATGTTTCTAAACTTTTAATACTTTTCCTTTCAGCTGACGCTATAGCGCTCTTTAAGTATTTCTATTTGTTTTTCTCCCTTTATATTATTGTATATATTTTAAATTTTCCCTACATTTATGCAATTTAGTAAATAATTCAAGTATCAAGTACGTCTCTATGTCTTTCAGTCTACTTTCACCTGTCTCCCTGCTAGTGGAAAGCATTAATATATAGCTTAAAGTATTTTCTTTGACTGTAATAGAATTATTTTCATTAAAGGTCAGGTTAACGATATTTTATTGATAAAAGTATTTATTTAGCATTGTAAATAAGAGTCATTGACTTTATATTCAATTAGTTTATGGATTAATTAAAAATTTTATAATATTAGCTTATTTTATACATTATTTTATGCTTAACTCAATACTCACTGCATTACTTGGAAGTAATGGTATAGTTAGTTTCCTTGTGATCTAGCTAGAGCTTTTAACTAAAGCTTTTGAAGCAAGTAAGTGTATGCTTTAATAACTTATACATTACCTCTTTTAAATTTGATTAAAAAAAAATACCATTACTAACTCAGACAATTTCCCTTCAAAAATCTCTAGAGATTGTTATACTTCTAACTGCATCTAATACATATGAATATAGTTAAAAACTCACTTAACTTATTTCAACTAGATTTTGGAATAGTAAAACTAAATCTTCAAAATAAGTTTTCATGCATTTAGTTTAGTGTAAAATAAAGTTATTGATTATCGATTTGGGACCAAAAGAAGAAATATTTCAAAACATTAATATTCAGCAACACTTGCAGAAAATCCAACAACAAAGCAATACTTTCCCTATTTGAACCTTCTATAAGTAGCAAATACTTGCTTAACTTTATCCTACTGATATAATAAATTCCCTTGTTACCTGCAATGATGATGGCTGACTGGCTGGCTGGTTGGTTGGTTGGTTGAAATAAATGACTGGTAAGCAGGGTATCATACATACATATGGTGGAATGTAGGAATATATGATTTCAATTTAACTTTAGCTTATAAACACGCTTCATTTACTGTTCATTTGGTATTTGTTTTAACGCCTGCATGCGAGTGAATCCTTCCTTGAACTTGTAGGTTGCATGTCTTGTGTTTTTTTGTTTGCTTAGAGAGCTCTGGGTGTTTAGTTTGTTGGCACGTTTTGGGTTTTATGCTTCATTTATTAGTGCCGCAATTTCAAGATGAAAATAATATTTATTTTTGTTAGTGCTTAATTTATAGGGGAACATCTTAAGTATATATCATGTAGATATTATAACTGTAACGTATATTAGTTTCATATTGATATTTCTTTTAATTTATGTATTTTTTTCTTTTTTTTTAGATCGAAGATGAGGGTAATCATGGCAATGATGAGACCAGACTTTTCATTTTATCTTCTCTGGCTCAATCGCAGAAAAGTCGTGTCGCTTGTATTTTATGCGAAGAACCCATGTTGGTCTTTGATCGTTATCCTTTAGTGGATGGCTCATTCTTTTTGAGCCCCAAACAGCATTCAACTGATTGTATTGAGGTAAGTAAATTATCTTCTTAAAAAGCCGAGTACTGTTTAAAACTTGATATGGACAAATGAGCTCTTTGGTTCGTTTTCTATGCTTAGGTATGTGTGAAAGCTAGAGAGCTCATTTGAGTTTTCAACTCTTTGCCGAGAACTGTTTTAAACTTGATATGGACAAATGTGCTCGTTTTCTATGCTTAGGTATGTGTGAAAGCAAGAGCGCTCATTTGAGAGATCATGGCCTATTTATACTTGAAGTTAAAGTTCTGTTCGAATTTAAATATCGATTTTTTTCAATCCCTTTAAACTAGTCTTCTTAAACTGAATAATGGAGTAGTAAACTTGAGTTCTTTCTTATTTCTCTCAAAAATTCTTTTACATACTTTTTTTAACTTTAATAACTCTACTTTAACCTCAACTATAGTTGTCTATTTGAATAACCCATAATTCTTAAACAAATGTCTCATAATTTATGTTAAATGTATCTCTTTTGCTATTCTTATTTTGCCCATTTAACCCATTAACTTTTTTTAACGACCGACTACTCAGTCTTTTCCTTCAACTCACCCTATCTTAATGGCTGTGTAAGTATGTACCTTGAAAATAAACTTGCTTAGTTTTTGCCTATGATCAAGAATAGGAGAAGACGACACACCTTTTATGGCTATAGCAGTCGTAAATCTTGTTAAAACTTTAAACACTAAACTGTAATTTCATTACCATGACAACAATTGTGTGCATGTTGCAACATTTAAACTCAATTGTAATTGTGTTAAAGCCAACTCGGCCCAGTAGTTTTTCAAGGGATACAATGTGCATCCTCTAGATAGTATTTTCGATTAATCATATTCTTAAATAGTCTAAACAAGAGATCGTTATATTTTTGTATCTGTACTGAAACATTAAAACTAGTTATTTAACCCACTAATGGTAATCAGTGGGGTAATCAATTGTCTAGACATAATTAAAGTAAACTGTGGTGTATTTGTGAATGAAAACTAGTAAAAGGGCTAATTGTAAGTGATCCCGAACTGCTGGGCAATAAAAGTCTCTAGAATTTCTCTTTATATTTTTGTTAAATTGGCTTCTAATATCCTCCCCCATACAACCAAACTTCTGAGTTGCCTGTTGTTTGGTTGTTTTGGTAACTGTCATTACCAAAACATTTCATATTATTTACATCTTCCCTATTTTATTTATTTTCCCTATGTCTGCTGTTAAGTGTCTGGATTTGTAATAATTTAAAATGCACATGCAGAACTGCACTAAAAATGAAAAAAAAAAAAAAAAACCTGTAAATTGCAGAAAATTTCCTCATTTTCTTAAAATATATGATTTGTTAGCAAAGTGAGCAATAGCTCTATGTGCTAAACATTATTAAGATTGTGTGTATTTTGACGTCTACTATGATGTTGATGACGACAATGTTTGTGTAGGCGGTTTGTAGTTTTTACATGCAACTTAAAGAAAAACTCCATGGAAACTTTCCTTTCATATATGTCATATTGAGTTGAAGTTATGTGTCAGTTCTTTTCTTTTTCCCCACTTTTCACTTCATACAAAAATCATGCTATGTTAAGTAAGTAAATATTAGGGGTATTCATAAATTATAAGCAAATTTCTAATATTAAAACTGTTATATTTTAAATGAAACTTTAAATAGTTAAATATTTAATTTTTATTATTAATTTGAAGAATAATAATAAAATTGGCTCAGAATAAAACTAAAAACTATTAGGAACTAACTATTTGCTTATGTATATCTAATCCTTTTACAAATCTTTTTAAATGAAAAATTTTGAATTTTAATATTTTTTCACGCAAATTCATCGAATTTGTTTACTTATTGCGAGTTTGTGTATTCCTTTGTATTGTTGACTTTACTTTCTTCCCGGTTTGCATATCATTACTCCAATGTTATTTCTTTATTTTGTCAATTTTGGTACATTTTAAATCTTGTTTATAAAACTTTACATAAAAACTTTGTTTTTCCCCTTGCATTCGCAAAATAACTACATAAATAGTATGTGGGCCGTCTTTCAGGAGAAATATTTTTCTACTTTTACATATACAGGCAACTCCCTGTATAACGAATGATATAATGTCAGACCTTTTCATTAAATCGAAAAATTCGTAATATCGGAATTATACCCTAAGCCCCTATAGTGTAGAGGTTCTTGTATTGGCTAGAAAAATGGAAAATTTTGAAATGACACAAAATTTTTAAGTAAAATCGTTCTGAAATTTTGTTCGGAAATTTTGATGAATTATTGGTCTTAGGTCCGCTATGATTCATGTTAGGATTCCGCTTAATCTTGAATGTCAAATTTTTGCCTGAAAGGTGACTTTGCAGCCAGATTCGGCCAGTATTTCCCGAGTTTGAAGCAAAAATAAAAAAATGTAGAAATTTTGATGAATGTTGGACCTAGGACCCAATACTACAACCAAATTTCAAATTTATTTTTTTGTTTGCTTAAATCTCGAAAACTTCTGGCCTAATCAGGCTGGAAACTCACCTTTCTGGTAAATTCCCATGCTGAATCCGAAAATGGACTCAGAATGGACCTTGGTCCATTGCTTCATCAAAATTCCCGAATTTTTTTATTTTGAACAATTTGTACTATTTTTTCGAAATCTTAAGGCCGAGGGAAACTGAAATTTGTCATTTTGGACTAAAATCTATGCTGAATCCGAAAATGATTTCAGAATTGAGCTAGGTCCAATATTTCATTAAAATTTCAGCATACAAATTTTGAACCAAATATCCCATGAAATTTCATTTCACATCAAGATTTTTCTAAAATGTGAGGTTCTTGTCTTGGCCAGCTAAATTTTTCAATAGTCAAGACAAGAACCCCCATTCTAAATCCAAAAATGGACCCAGAATAAACCTAAGACCTATAATTTAATAAAGATTTCGGATTCCGTGATCAAGAAAGTGGCCGTTTTGGTATCTAAAGAAACCTACAAAAACTCACCTATCAACTTACCTCTGAATGTTTAGATTTTCCAAGAATTAAACTCTTTTTCATTCTGATATTTAATAAAATTATTCAATAAGTTTTCTTTATTTAATATTTTAACTTAATAATAATACATTTGTATTTAATATTAACAATAAATAACATTATATTAATATTTAATTAATTAAAATAAAATCCTACTTAGAGAAATTCGTTATACTGGGATTTACCTGTATATACATTTATACATAAAGTAATGTGTACTTAAGTATAATATAGAAAGTTTTATTTGTATGTATTTTTCATTATTTGTCTCGTTGCTGTCATTTAGGCGGAAGTTTTTTTTCGTTTTTTGTTTCTTTCTGGCAAATGTTCCGTATTTTAACTCAAATCCTTGCATAAACTCCTTGTGTGTGCCATATGTAAAATATGTTGCATGTCAGTTTTGGTAACATTGTGCAAATTTACATGAAATTATTAAGTTTCGTCCTGTTTTTCACACTTGCACTTGACTTTGAAAGTTGTAGTTGTAATCAAGGTTTTTGAAATTAAGTTTGTTTTGAAAAAAATATGTTTAAAATATTTAAAATTTAATATTAAATTCTTTTTTTCTTTTTTTAAGGTTAAATACGAAGGACGTTCTTTATATTTGACTAGCGTTTGCATGCGCTGTTTGGATGGTACTTCTACTAATCGTAGTATTTGCTGCAGGTAAGTTATTGTCGGTTAAACTATACTAATTTTACGCTATAGACTAGACTCAACTATAAACCTGATTAGACTAAAGACCAGACTATATACTAGACTAAAGATTAGACTAAATACTAGACTATAGACTAGACTATGGATTATACTATAGATTTGACTATAGACTAACTTAACTAATTTTACGCTAAACTATAGACAAGACTGGACTATAAACTTGATTAGACTATAGACCAGACTATATACTGGACTTAAAATTAGATTATAGACTAGACTAGACCATAGATTATATTATAGATTTGACTATAGACTTGTCTGTAGACTAGACTTGAGGCTAGACTATTAACCAGACTATAGATATACTATACTATAAACTACACTAATGACTTTACTATACCCTAGGCTGGAGACTAGACTTTATATTATACTATAGATTAGACTATAGACTAGTCTGTAGACTAGACTATTGACTAGACTGTAGACAAGACAATAGACTAGACTATGGACCAGACTATAGACTAGACTTGATACTAGACTATGGACCAGACTATAGACTATAACTCTTATGTCCTTTATGTACCTAGTAAATTATTAATGTTTTAATTTGTTTAATTTTTATTCGTTTAGATTCTGTGCTGATAAATGGGATGGTTCAAATCTAGTCTTAGGTACCATGTATGCATACGACATTTTTGCCGCTATGCCCTGCTGTGCAGAACGTCTCAAGGTAAGTGAAATCGAAATTATTTTATTCTTATTTTTAGCATTAAATGTTTAAAATTCATCGATACCCTATATTCAAAAAGTGTTAACTCAATCCTATGCTATAGTGAGTTTTTGATGGCAATTGATTCATTGACTTTATTGACTTAGCACATTTTGAATATAGTGACTCTATATTGAAAAATAATACTTAATACTTACATTACTGTTTTCCTTTCTCATTCCAGTGCAATAATTGCTTCAAATTGTTGATACATCCACAACAACGTCTTAACTTCTACAGTGCCTATTCGCACTGTGTCACTTGCCCCTATTGTGCAACTCAGGATACACACTTTGTCAAACCCTTGACCTACTGCTACACCAAAAGCTTTTCGGGTCGCCTATCGGCTATCGCATAACATGAGGCCTCGTTGGAGTTGCCCACACAAACAGCAGTTACAACAAATCAACAACAAACTGCTGGGGTAACTTCAACGAGCCTCTCTGCGGGATCTAAGACTACTACATCGTCGTCGTCGTCGTCATCTTCTTTAGCATCGAGGAAGAAAGTGGTTTTATATAATCCCAATGAGGATTATTCAGCACCATTGCAACAAGAAATCAATACTGATTTAATTGGTCCACATCCTCAAGCGCAACAATATCAAAAACAACAGCTACAGCAGACATCATCATCATCAGCAGCAGCAACTGCAACACAGGTAAGACAATCTGCCAACAACAGATCATCTTCAGTTTCTTATAATACATCAGCATCAACATCAGCAGCTGTTGCAGGAGTGTCAGGAGTTTTAAATAATTCTACAACAATCAATAATTTACAATTAAAATTAAGTGAACAATGTAATATAAGTAAATTAGGTAATATAATCACAACAACTACAACAACAAATAATAATAATAATACAATTACTACTAATAACAATAATAATAATAATTTTACTATGAATGAATTTAATGCAATGAAAACAGCCCATAATATTGTAACAACACCACCAATAACACAACAACAACAACAACATGTAGGTTTATTACACAACAACATTGAAACAAACAATCTTGTTAATAATACAATAATTAGCAACAATAATAATAACAACAACAACAGCAGTATTAATAATTTATTATGTAGCAATAATTTAAATACTAATGTCTGGTCCAATAATCAACAACAACAAACACCAGCCAACATTTTACAAACCCAAAATATGGGTCTTTATCAAACAGTCTCTTCTAATAATGGCTGTTTCCAAATGGACAATTTGAATAATCACTGCACTGAGGCCATGATTTCCTCACTTTGGGGCTGTGAATCTAGCTCTAGTGGTTGTTCTTCCGGTTCGGGTTCTCAGCCCTCATTGAGTCCCACCCTTATGTCCAATGTTAATCATAATTATCGCAGCAATAGCAAGGAATCATTGTGGTCACAACAAACTTCACCATCTACCAGCAGCTCAGGTTGTAGCAGCCAACTCAGGGATACTTATTATACTGGCTCAAAAATCACAACCCAATCACCCACATCCTGGTCCTCTGCTAATGCCAACAACCATGGTTGTTCTTCCAGCAATGCTAATAATCTTATGTATGAGGCAAATGATTTAAACTTTACCAAGATGAATCATATTTGGGAAATACCCGAAAATTCATCATCATCATCATCAGCTGCCTCGGCCCAAATACAAGATTTCTTTCCCGAAATCTGGAGCAATCTCAATGGCAACACAAATAATTTAACCGATAATATATCGGATATTAGCTCGAATACTTCTTCACAACCAGACTCTGACATCTGGCGTACTCCCCAGTTACCAGCGTCAGCCAACAATACGGGTATTGTTAATAAGGATATCAGAGCCATGTTTGGTAATGCTAACAGCAGCAACAATCATCTTGTAAATGAAAATAATTCCAGCGGTTTGGGAGCCGCTGCTTGCATGCAATTATTTTCCGATGAATTCCTATTTATGTAAATTTATTTTTAAAAAATTTACATATTTTTTTTTAGAAAAATCTTTTATTTTTTTTGTTTGTTTTTCGTAAGAAAACTACTTAAAAATCTTAATGAAAAGTTTAATTTAAATTTATTTAAAACAATTTTGTTAAATTTTTTTTTCCTTAATTTTTTTTCTGGGGTAACATATTTAATTATTAAACAAAATACCTTATTTAGCTAAAGTATTTTTTTTATTTTTCGTTCTACTTAAGTTTTATAAAAAATTTTTTATATAAAAAAATTATATTTATAAAAAAAAATTTATATTTATAAAAAAAAATCTATTATTTTTGTTGAATTTTGTTATATTTTTTTCAGTTTATTAATTTTTTTATAACTTGAGTTTTTTTTTAATGTTTTTATTATAATTTTTTTTTTTATTAATTTAAACCACCAAAAAAATCTAAACAACAAACATCACATTTTTTATATAAAAAAAAAGTTAAAAAATGCTGTGTTTTTTCAATAAAAAAAAATCTTTTAAATTTTTTAATAATCACATAATTTTTCTATTAAATATAATTCTTATAAAAAAACTAAATAATTAAAAATTGAAAAAATTTAATTAAAATAAGTTAATTTTATTTTTAATTAATTTTTTTCGCTTACATCTTTACCTACAAATTGGTAATTAAAAAAAAATTATTATTAAATATTTTTCTAAATAATCAGGAATTTTAAAAGTTTTCTTTTTTTTTAAAAGAAATTTAAATAAAGAAAAAAAACAAAAGGTCTTTTTTTAAGAGTATTTTTTAAAAAAAACATATAGAGCTTTTTTTAGCCATTTTCATTTTCATTTTTTTTCTTAACTTTGCAATAAATCCTTTAACATCCCTTAAACTACTGTGACAGGAGTTTTCTTATTCCCTTTAAGAGGAAAAAAAGATTCCTTTAAAAATTTGTTTAATCTTAACTTTGGCGCAGCGTGATCAATCCATAACAATCTTTTTAAGGTAATTCGGTATTTAGCTTGTAGTTTATAGTTTGTAGTTGTTAGTGTAGTTTAACTTTTAGGCTTTAGATTTAGGTTCTTTTTTTCAAAATTCCCTCAAGAAATTTTGTTTAATTCGTAAGTTTAATAAAAAAAAAACAACTCAAAAATGTGATCTCTATTCTAAATTGTATATAGTTTGTAAGGATGTCTTTTTAATTTTTTCAAAATTTTTCTTTTAATTTTCAAAATTTCTTCTTTTTATACAACAAAAATTTCATTATTGATAAAATTTTCAATTTGTAAAAAGTATTTACCTTTTTAGTTTCGAAATCTTTATTGAAAATTAATGATTTTTTTTTAATATTTTTCGTTAATTTCTCTTTATTTCTTAAACAAAAAAAAAGAACAGCATTCATGTGACCCCTCCCCTTAATTATCAGTTTTATATTAATTTTTTTAATTAGAACAGCTAAACTGTTGATAAACTAACTGTTGAAAACTAACTTAAGAAAAAACAAACAAGGTTTTAATTACAGCCTTCGTTAACAATTTCGATCTTTAACGAAAGCTTAATTATAAATTTTTGTTATTATTTCTTAAGCTGTTGTATTACAATAAAAGGTAGTTATTGTTTTTTTTTGTAGATTTTGTTAAAATGTATTAAATTTCTCTCTCCACCCCCTCCCCCCAAAAAAGAACAGCATAATTGTGACAAAATTTATTAAATTTAGTAACGAAAATAAATGTGAAAGCTAGTTCGTTTAACGAACATAATATCAGACTCTATATAGATAAAATCTCAACTGTTTTCGGGCTTTTCTTCTTTAAGAAGTAAAATATTTTAAAATTTTCAATATTTCAATATTTCCCAACAAAATAAGTTCAAAATTTTCTTTTTAATGGAATATTTAACTGCTTACTGTCTTATTCATAAACATTTATCAAAGGTTTATAGTACAAATTTTGTATGAAAGTTTGATTTATAAACCTTTGTTAAAAGTTTATGAATAAAAGCTTTGACACACGGTTGTCAGATCTTACAAGGTTGTCAGTAAAATTTGCAGAAAATGGTTTAAACTTACAATTTTTCTTTTGCAACACTGTCAGAAAAAGCATTGCAAGAAAATTTGAAAATTTGTAAGTTGACACTATTGCTAGACATTTTCTGAACATTTTACTGACAACATTGCAAGATCTAACAACCGTTTATACATAGCTTAAGACCCTTATACTGCTAAATCAAAATTTAAGTTAAAAAATTAACACGAAAAACTTTTAGTTTTGAAAACTAGGGATTTTTAAACGAATTTTTAAATTTGATTTAGATTTAAAACTTCTAAGGAAATTTGAAGATTGAATGTTGAACTTATCACCTGGTTTTTCTTAATAACACAGGCCGACAACATTTGAAAAAGGGCGCTAAAGTATACTTTACGTAAAGTTAAGACTTCGTTGAATTCCAATTTGACTTCAAAATGTACCCATCACTTTAGAATTTTCAGAGACGGACTCAATTCAATCCTTTAGAAAAGTTTAAGTTGGTCTTTATATAAAACATTTGTATAAACACAATTCTTACGTGATCGAATCTCTCTCTTAGGGATCAAATTCATATTGATATAAAAGAAATTATACGAAATTTTTGATCCCTAGGAGAACGATCGGATCGTGTAAGAATTGTGGTTATACATACATTATAGTAACAAATGTTCTAGCTAAAGAACAACTTAAACTTTTCTAAAGGATTAAATGTTGAACTTATCCCTTCGTTTTTCTTAATAACACAGGCCGACAACATTTGAAAAAGGACGCTAAAGTATACTTTTCGTAAAGATAAGACTTCGTTGAATTCGAATTTAACTTCAAAATATATCCATCACATCAGAGACGTACTCAATTCAATCCTTTAGAAAAGTTTAAGTTGGTCTTTAAATAAAACATTTGTATAACCACAATTCTTATGCAATCGGATCTCTCTCTCTCTTAGGGATCAAATCTATATTAATATGAAAGTAATAATTAGAACTTTTTGATCCCTAAGAGAAAGATCCGATCGCGTAAAAATTGTGGTTATACATACATTATAGTAACAAATCTTGTATATAAAGACCAACTTTAACTGTTGTAAAGGATTGAATTGAGTCCGTATCTAAAAATTTCGAATCATTTCATTCATTTCAATATGAACTCAAACTTTTGCAGCATTTAAAAGCTTTTTCGTTTAAGAAAGTTTGATGGCAATTACAATTTCAATTTATACATCCATTATAGTAACAAATGTTCTAACTAAAGACTAACTTTAACTGTTCTAAAGGATTGGATTGAGTCCGTATCTAAAAATTTCGAATCATTTCTTTCATATTAATATGAATTCAAACTTTTGTAGCATTTAAAAGCTTTTTCGTTTATGAAAGTTTGTTGGCAATTACAATTTCAATTAATACATCCATCATAGTAACAAATGTTCTAGCTAAAGACCAACTTAAACTTTTCTAAAGGTTTGAATTGAGTCTGTATCTGAAAATTTCAAATCATGTCTTTCATTTCAATCTGAATTCAAACTTTTGTACCATTTAAAAGCTTTTTCGTTTATGAAAGTTTGAGGGCAATTACAATTTCAATTTATACATTAATTATAATAACAAATGTTCTAGCTAAAGACCAACTTTAACTTTTCTAAAGGTTTGAATTGAGTCTGTATCTGAAAATTTCGAATCTTGTCTTTCATTTCAATCTGAATTCAAACTTTTGTATTATTTAAAAGCTTTTTCGTGTAAGAAAGTTTGAAGGCAATTACAATTTCACTTTATACATCCATTATAGTAAAAAATGTTCTAGCTAAAGACCAATTTAAACTTTTCTAAAGGATTGAATTGAGTCCGTATCTAAAAATTTTGAATCATTTCTTTAATTTCAATCTGAATTCAAACTTTTTTACCATTTAAAAGCTTTTTCGTTTAAAAAAAGTTTGCCGACAATTACAATTTCAGCTGAGAATCAGTTTTAGAGATTTTACAAAGAGTCTGGTATTAAAAATTTAAAAAAAAAAATGTTTAAGGATTTATTGGAAATGTTTACAACAGGTTTTTCTTTCAACTCACAAATCACAACTCTTAATATCTTAATGAAATCCTATAGTTCCCACAAAATTCTCTTTTTTGTCAAAATCTTTTAAATTAATTTCTTTTACTCTTAAAAAAAGACCTAAAGTTTTCTTAAATATTTAAATTTCTTAGCAACATTTATGGTAAATAAAACTTATTTTTAAAATTAAATAATTTTGAAAAAAGTTGAAGCCATTTTAAATACCAAATAATTAAAAAAAATAATAATAATAATAAAAACTAAAAGCTAGTAATTAAATAATATAAAATTTAAACTAAGTATTTGTTTTTTTTTAATAATAATAACAACATAAGTGAATAAAAAAAATAATTGAATAAGTAATAATTAATAAAACTGATATAAAAGGAAATAATATTGGTAGGGAAAACACTGCGTGATAATTACATATAAAAAAAAAGAAAGTTAAAAATTTAATAACAAAATTTTTAACAAAAAAAAAAAAATAATTTGAAATAAAGTTTTTTTTTTAAACAGAAATAGAAAAAAACTTTTTAACTAAACTAAAACATAAAACAAAACTTTGGCATTTATTAAAAAAAAAAACATACAAATTAATTATAAGTTTAAACTTTTTTTTGTACTTTTTAAACATACTACAAATTAATTAATTTAATATAAGTTTTCTTTTAACTTTAATTAACAAAAAATTAAATTTAGCACTTAAACTTTAACCTTAAAATTAAGCTTAAAACCATAGGAAAATTTCATTTCAATAACAACAAAAACATTTTTTTTAACACGCCCCTTTTCCCCTCCCTTAACAATTTTAGTAGGGCACAGATTATAATTGAATAGTTTTCTTTTTTTTTTAATAATACATAATAAACATAATATTGAAATACCCACCTTAAACAATGAATTAATTTATGTTTTTTAATTTAAAAAAATAAACTAAAACTCCTTAATAATATAAAAAAAAAACTACACAAAAAAGCAATAAATATTAATTTAAATTAAAAAACAATATAAATTCAAACACAATTTTGATTTTGAAATAATAAAATAT